AATTGTTTACCTGCTCTCCTCGACTCCTGTCAGGTTGACTCCACCACCATTTGATGGAGTGCATCGTGGTATTATATGTTTATTCTTTTAATTATTGAAAACTGCAAACCATGGCTCTGTTCAAGTAAACCATACAACAAAAGGGCCGATACTCTGTTGGTCAAATTCCCATTTACCAATCAAGCAGACAGAAACACTGTATCTGATTATTTGATTATGATCAGATAATACACTGTATCTTTATGATATTGATCAGTAATGGTGGTGTTGTGTTGTGGGTGTTTGGTGGTGTAGCTCTGCGTGAGGAACCCTGTACTTTGAACCGTCGGCTGCCCTCTCGTCTTCTCTGGTTCAAAGTGCTTGCCTTCACTGTTCTTTCTTCCTCTCTGTCTCTACAGTGCTCCTGGTTCAATCTTCCCGCCCAACTGGCCAGCTCAACCCGTCCACACAATACCCGCGGACAACACACTCCACCAAGTCAGACAGAATGAGTAAAGAAACAAACCTTACAACAAACAGTGAACAGCACTTATAATTTCTTATAACCACAAGGTAAATTATTTGTTTAAAGCTGGATTTTAATTGCGTATAGCAAGTCCTTTAGACAGCTGAAGAAGAGTCCATGGCGCAATGGATACCTGGAGGCTGGCCCCGCTCTGCAACCTGACCAATCCAGCGAGCCTGGAGGAGAGAAATTTCTGGGGAAGATCGGCCAGCTTCACTTCTGTCACCGAGGATCCACCCTTTTCCACTGCAAGGAGAGGACCACACCAGAGACACTTTAAATGGCCTCTATTAAATACTGAAGCATATTAATGCCTCTGTTGTAATCAGTGTGTGTAGAGGCAGTGTTGGGGTGTTAGCAGAGAGGAACCGTCTCAATAATGTCCCTTTTTTCCAAACATAGATTACCTAGCACATAGCTTGTTGATCAAGTTTTGCTCAACTGTTTCTAAACTCCTCCTCCCAGGTTCAGGAGGGTCTCGGACGTGGGTGTCTTTGACAGTGAATTTAAAGTTCCTCTTGGTTTTCCAGTTTTAACCCGCTGTAAATTTATACAGATTGTTCCAGCACGTCCACACGCGACAAATCCTTCAAATCCTTTAAGTCCAAGTGTCACTCTTTCCGTTCGCAGTTCTGCGGTGTCGTGAAGCGGTCGGCTCTCGGTCTCAGAACGTCGTTCAGCTCTCTTCACTGTGAGTTCTCCAAAGAGAGAGAGAGGCAGACCCTCTTACAGCTGACGGAGGAGAGGTGCGTTAGGTTTGTGTACCTCTTACAGCTGACGGAGGAGTGGATGGGGGACGGGTGGCGTTTGGACAGCAGACTCCTCCTCTGACCTCCCTGAGGAGACGCAACCAGGGAAGCTGGAGGAGACGAGAACGTGGTTCACTTAAAAAAAAACTATTCAAACATAATATCAATAACTTTAACGATAACAGTCAACTTAAACTAAATATTCCTTAATTTTATTGATTATTGATTATAAATACATCAGTTATATGATTGATGATAAAACTATAGATTTGAAATATTTCTCAATTTGTCAAAAATCACTGTTATTTTAATGTATTCAATAGAGTTGTGAATAATAAGTCAGTGATCACAAAGAGATACGGATGCATAAGATGAACAATGAAATGTGTTTTTAAAAGAGGAAGTTTGATCCAATCGATCAATCAGACGATCAATGACTCAGACCTTTCCCGTCCGCAGCCTGCGTGCAGTCGCTGCAGGCCCAGTCGCTGGTGTTCAACTTCAGCCCAGAACATTTCCTGTGAGTCCCTCTGGATCCACACAGCCGGCAGCGAATCACCTCAAACCACCTGAACAAACAAACAACAACAACAACAACAACAACAACAACAATGAGCTCTACTGGGACTGGGAGGTACGGACTAACTACCGTTGGTCACTGTGAGTTTTGTTTCAGAGACAGTTGTTCTGTACAGATATGGAGGTTAGAAACAGCTCCTGTGAAACGCTGTACCCGGTTTTGGCGGAGTGCGAGCGTCCGTCGTTGCAGAGGCAGGCGAGAGCGTCACAGCGGTTATAAACCTCCAGCAGCTCTGAATACGCGTTCGCCTCCAACTCCCATGAAGCATCTCTGCAGAGAAGAACACAGTGAATTCATTCTACCCACAATCCCTTGCTTTGTCTGTGCAGCCCGTTCCCGTAGTAACGGTGACGTTACCTCTCGGGGATGTATATTCCCATCCTGAGCATCTCCTCCTGGAAGTCGTCCTTGTTGTTACAGAGAGTGCACCTGAAGAAGAAGAGGCCGGCGCTGTGGGCCTGACGCTGACACACAAACACACACAGGTCAACTGCGGTTCCACACACCTGGAGACAAACATCTGTACAGCTGCTGCTCTACACAGTGAGCGGCGCTACCTGCACGCAGTCTCTGTGGAACCAGCTGGCGTTGCAGGACGGACACTTGAGGACAGAGTAGCAGAGGACCGGTTCGATGGAGTCCAAACAGACGGAGCAGGACTGAGGCAGGCTGAGGTCTAAACCCACACACAGAGACTGGGTGGGACTGTGGTCCGGACAGTAAGACCTGGACACACAGAGGGGTTTCAGGTTGAAACCAAGTGTTTACTGTTGATTGTTTATTGTTTATTGGACACTCACGGGAAGAGTCCGGTAAACTGAGAGATGAACTTCTGTTTCCTCCCGCAGGGGAAGTGGATCGTCTTCCTGCAGCTCCGAACGTTACAGCCGACACACGCTCCCTTCTTCTTACAGCAGCAACACGTCTGAGTAAACAACAACACAGTCAACAACAACACAGTAAACAACACAGTAAACAACACACAGTAAACAACAACAGTCCGTCCCGTTTGTTGTGTTTAAGACAGAAACTCACCAGTCGAGCCGACCGGCGGATCTCCTGTTGGATGTCGTCCACCAGGAACCCGAAGACGCCCTCGTCCTCCTCTCCTCGCTGGTAAACGCCGCAGGACGTCAGCTGGAACAGACGGAGGAGAACGCCGTCACTCAGAACCACAGACGGTTCTAGCAGGTCGTACCTCGAGAACATCGACCTCAGTAAACAACTACAACATACTGATCATGTCACCAGTTACACACACACACACACACACACTTACCAAACAGAAGTAGTGGACGGAGAGTTTGTGCTCTTTAAGTGTAACTTTTTCCCCAAACATGGCCGGATCATCATCACTGAGCCTGCAGAGAGCACAGCCTGCACACACACACACAC